CTCTCATAGTTATCTTTTTGTGATTAAAAGACCAAGACTTTTTTATGTTAAAATTCAATTCTCCCATCCCTTACCCTTCAGAATAGAATCTGAATTCATTACCATGATATGTTAAGGCACTCAATATATCCAGCCTTATCTTTCAACTGTTTTGTCTCCTCATTCATTCTTTTTAAGGTTTTTTTTTTTTTAATGTTTTATTTATTTTTGAGACAGAGAGAGACAGAGTGTGAGCAGGGAAGGCGCAGAGAGCAAGCGAGACACAGAATCCAAAGCAGCCTTCAGGCTCTGAGCTGTCAGCACACAGCCCGACGCAGGGCTCAAACTCACAAACCGCGAGATCATGACCTAAGCCGAAGTCGGAGGCTTAACTGACTGAGCCACCCAGGCGCCCCCCCTTCTCATTCATTCTTTCCTCTGCCCTCCCCAAACCCCTTAGAGTACTTGCCAAACTTGTAGTTTCCAAAACTTACCAGGTCAAGTTCTCTGAGACTTTGCATTGTTCCCTCTGTGTAGGTGACTTCCTCTGTTTCCCCCCCCCAACTATGATTTTGTTTAAAAACAATTCTCTTACATATAGACATTTTCCCTGAGCACCCCCAGTTAAATTAGATACATTAAAATTACTCTATGCATGCATTTATGTCATCACATTATGGTGACTATCTGATCCTTAATGGTCTCCCCAATTAAAAGACTTTCTTAAAGGTGACATCTGGATCTTTCATCTGTGTATCTTCAACATCTAGCTCAGTGCCTTGCATATAATAGGCATTCAATATATTTTTAAAAGTTAACAGGAATATGGGAGTAATTTATCAATAGATCTCTATTGCATTAACATTCTTCAGCCTAAACCTTCACTTAGGGAGAAACCTCCCCACTTGGCCCAGTCAAATCCAAATATCACTGAGTGACAAACTGTAGGAGTCTCAGTCTTGCCTCAACCTACATCAAAAGCAGTCCCATATTATAAATGGATGTTTTTTTAAAGCTATAAATAAGAAGGCTTTTGGAAGGCAGAATGTACTATCATGTGAACAATGTTACAGTGACTAAGTTTCAAGCTAGCAAGTACAGAAATGGCAATGAAGTTGTATAAAACTGAACCACCATGGTAGTAGCTGGAATTCTGTGCTCTAGGGCAGGAGATCTTACAGTGCTTGAACAAAGAGGAGAAAGAAAAAAAATATATCCTTATTTCTTGTTTCCTTCAGAATAGTTTTAATTTGCCTTTGACATTTTTCTTCCCACTTTTCTATGGAAAACCTGTCTCATAATGTTCTCTTACAAAGTATGTATATGGTAAAGCCCAGTCTCATTATTGTTAACTTTTGAGATTAAATATGCTTTGATGATGGGATATCTCTGAAACTGTCACATTTCTTCAACACCAAATAAGCCAAATTCTTTAAGGTTTTTTTTAGATGTAGTGAAATGTTTCTTAATAAGTTTCATTCTTTTAGTGTTAAGTCACTGTTTCTGTGCAATGTTAAGTCATGTTAAGTCATGTTAAGTCACTGTTTCTGTGCAATGAAAAATCAACAGGTACTAGATGTGTATTAAGACCTAAAAGTCTCATGTAAGTGGCTCCATTAAGTCACTTAGATATGATATAGATCAGATCCATCAGAACCACTATGCACAGCATAATTCTTTAATAAGAGTGTATTAACTTCTTAAAGAATTCTCACATAGATTTATTTAAATAATCAAATCCAATACTGTAAACACTGATCATTTCTGGTCTAAATCACACTCTATCTGTTTCCTTTGCATTTTTTACATTGTTATTGAAGCAACAAAGATTATAGTTATTGTTGGGAAGTAATATTAATTCAAATTACATATTTTAAGTACTGATAAAGTTAATTTGTAATTTGTATACTGGGATCCACAAAATGGAGGCTACCTAAGTGGCCTGGCCCACGTCACAAATGTAAACCTAAGCCAGTCTGCATTTACAAAAACACCTGTTGCCTTTAGATTTTTTACATTGTTATTGAAGCAACAAAGATTACAGTTATTGTTGGGAAGTTAATATTAATTCAAATTACATATTTTAACTACTGATAAAGTTAATTTGTGTACTGGGATCCACAAAATGGAGACCACCTCAGTAGCCCAGCCCACATCACAAATGTAAACCTAAACCAGTCTGCATTTACGAAAAACACCTGTCAGGGAAACCTAGCATATGCCAATCACAATCCTTCAAGTCAGCTTTAGCTCTAGCTTACCCTACCCTAGAACACAGGACCTGTTAGCCTTACAAGGAAATCCCCAACCTCCTAGCCAATCATACCATTTTCATCTTGCTGCTCTAATACTTTGTAAAACTGGCTCCTGCCCAAAATCCTCTCAGAAGTGGGGGTAGTATGTTCCCCAATCCATGGATTGTTTCCTTTCAATGAGGACATCAAACTTGTTACTAAACTGTTTTAGTGTTCTCATTTGATACTACCCAATCCTCAAAATCCTTATCTAGACGATTTACCCAATTTTCAACCTAACTTGATTTGAAATTTTAAAGAAAAATTTTTATCTATTTAGACTATTTGTAATTTCTGGCCATAATTATGAAGTTTTATTTTCAAGGAAATACAAAATTAATTATAAATTAATTTTTAATCACTGTTTTATTAAATAAGATTGATGAAAATACCACCAAATTAAAAACTAATTAACAGCAAAGGCTTATTATTATATTAAAATCTAATCTAAATTACACTGTATTGAAGGAAAAACCGCTTGTTGACTAAGTTTTTCACCTTATACAAGGCTGCTGTATCTCATTTATCATCAGTAATCTGAGAGGCGCTGAGATATTGAAAAATATTTAGTAATAAGCTTTCAGGGTGATTTCACATTTGGTTCTAATTAATATTTTTATTATTTTTTAAAACGTTATTTATTTTGAGAGAGAGAGCATGTGCACAAGCAGGGGAGGGGTAGAGAGAGAAGAAGAGAGAAAGAATCCCACGCAGTCTCCACACTGAGAGTGTGAGGCTTGAACTCACAAACCTTGAGATCATGACCTGAGCTGAAATCAAGAGTTGGACAGACATTTAACCAACTGAGCCACCCAGACGCCCGTCTAATTTCTTTTTAAAAATCTACATTGAAATAATTCACATACCATAAAATTCTTTTGAAGTCTACAATTCCGTGAGTTGCAGCATATCTATAGAGTTGCATAACCATCATCATTATCCAATTTCAACATATTTCATCACCTCCCCCCAAGACCCTATACTCATTTAGCAGTCACTCCCCATTCCCCCTGCCCCTAGCCCCTTACAGCCAGTAATCTACTTTGTCTCTATTTGCCTTTTCTAGCAATTTCCTATAAATGGAATGATAAAATATGTTGCCTTTGTTTCTGGGTTTTTTCACTTCACATTTTCAAGCCTCAAGACACATGTTGAAATATGTATCGGTATTTTGTTCTTTTAAATGTTTCTACTTATTTATTTATGAGAAAGAGAGAGAGAGAGTGAAAGCAAGTAGGGAGGGGGAGAGAGAGAGAGAGACAGAATCTGAAGCAGGCTCTAGGCTCTAAGCTGTCAGCACAGAGCCCAATGGTGGGGGGTGGGGGGGCTTGAACTCACAAACCGTGAGATCATGACCTGAGAAGTTGGACGCTTAACCAACTGAGCCACCCAAGCGCCCCTGTTCTTTCTTATTAATACTATTCAATAATAAGGATATACCACATTTTATTTATCCATTTATCAGCTGGTGGGACTTTTGGTCGTATCCACTTTTTAGCTATTATAATGTTACTCTGAAGATTCACATATACAAGTTTTTATGTGAAAATGCTCAAATGTATTTTTAGCTCAAGCATTTGTGCATGGTTTACTATGTACCAAACACCCGCTTAAAAAAAAAAATTTAACATTTACTTATATTTTAGAGACAGAGACGGAGAGAGTGTGCACAAGTGGGGGAGGGACAGAAAGACATGGAGACAGAATCTGAAGCAGGCTCCTGGCTCTGCGCAGAGCCTGATGTTTTTGAACAAAGTATAGAGAGGAGTAATTTCATTTTTATGCGAACAATATGAAGTAACATTTGGTTGACTTGGTTTCCAAATCACCTATTACAAGCAGAATATGTAAACATACATTCTGAATATAAAATCTGGACTACAACATTTACAATTTAATTAAGCTAATAAAATGGCATACACGGTGTTACAGCCAGTATCCCTAACACGTTATAAAACTCCATGATAAAGTTACAAAAATCTGAAAACAGACTCAACATTAATAAACATATGTACCAATCTATATTAAATATATTTATTCACACATAAATTTTAATTAACCCTGGTACTGAGGTTTTTATAATTATATGGCTTCAATGATACATTCACATATTAGTTTTGGGGTTTTGGGGTGATGGTGAGCTTCAGAGCTGACAACCAAGAAAGAATTCTTGAAGATGTCTTTAGTGCAAAAAGGTGATTTTATTAAGGCACAGGGACAGGGCAGAAAGAGCTGCACTGGGACTGTGAAGAGTGACTGGTTATATACCTTCAGATGGGGCATGGGTTAGGGACAGCATAAGGCTCTAAGGAATTTTGGAAGCAAGGTTTCCAGGACCTTGAGGGGCTAGTTGTTAGGAAAACGTCATGTATTACTATTTAGTAAAACCTCAGTCATGAGACCCTTCAGATGTACATCAGGGGCCATATGCTTGGAGTATAACTGCCAACATATACTGGGGGTTAAGCATAAAGGAGGTTTGCAAAGGAATTTTTATGTGTTTAAAGAGACACACAGGAATCCTGTGGCGGGGCTGGGGGTACAGAAGTACACAAGTATTAAATCCTGACTCTACTACTTAATAATTTTATGAGCTTGAGTGTTTCATCTATATAATGGGTATTTGATGAGATAATGAATTAAGAGACCCCCATACATAGTGCTTCAAGTAACAATTATTAACACTTATTTTTAAGAAATTTACACAGTATTTTAATTTCATTGTAGGTTATTATTTTAATTTTGCAGTTCTTCCACCACATCTTATTTGCAAAGGCGTGTAATAAATAAAAGTGATACAGTAAAACCTAAGTTACCAGAATGCTTGGGAAATGAGTCATCTGGATAGGTAAGTTTTCCATAGGGTACGTTTATGCGCATAGAAAAAACATCAATGAGGGGCGCCTGGGTGGCGCAGTCGGTTGAGCGTCCGACTTCAGCCAGGTCACGATCTCGCGGTCCGTGAGTTCGAGCCCCGCGTCAGGCTCTGGGCTGATGGCTCAGAGCCTGGAGCCTGTTTCCGATTCTGTGTCTCCCTCTCTCTCTCTGCCCCTCCCCCGTTCATGCTCTGTCTCTCTCTGTCCCAAAAATAAATAAATGTTGAAAAAAAAAATTAAAAAAAAAAAAAAAAAAGAAAAAACATCAACGAATAGGATAAAACTATTTCCTAAACCTATTATGTACTTCCATGCATTCTTAATAAGAATATACTGGTAGTAATTAAGCTTTTTTAAATGAATTTTAGTGATTACGGAATCACTACTGTTATGAATATAAGTTATAATTGAATGATAACATTTCACAATCCTTTCAAGGCTTACCAACAGGAATAAGCCCACTTGACTTTACCTAAAATTTTTTATCATGAAGTTCATGGATAGAATATAGGAAGTATGTGAATTCAGTTGGGGAAAAAAAATTACTGCTTTATTTTTACTAATCTCGAACTGAAATGTAGTATTTCCTTCAATTTTGAATGTAAGCAGCAAATAGCTATACATAGGTCTGTATCACCAACAGGAATGAGATACTTTATATCACATTACAACTATTGCTATGAATTTTACTTTATACATTTAAAAACATTATTTTGAGAAGAGTCAATGGCTTTGCCAGACTGCCAAAATGGTCTGTGGCACAAAAAAAGTAAGGAACTCTGACCTCAAATTTGTCCCACTCCGCTGTGCACTTGTTAATTCAGGGCATTAACATGTTCCTTTATACTTTCATACTGAAGCTTGTTTAGATCAGGGTAATACAAATTGGCTTATCTGGGACTGTTCTTAAGGGACCTCCTGGATACTGTGAGTTCCCTTTGGGTCAATAGGAATGTTTCCTACCACTCTTGTATACTGGCTTCTGAAAGAACAAAACAGAGGGAGAAATAAGTCAAATAAAACTAGATTCAGAGGACACTGAAAGTAGAAATATACAACATCCTACTCTCCTACTTTCTAAAATAAGAGACAATATGAAACTCCACCTGATGAACACACTGAAGTTAACTGCATGGGTTCAAATTCTACTTCTGCCATTTATTAGCTGTGTGACCTTGGGATAGTAAATCTCCCTGTGCATCAGTTTATTTGTAAAAGTAGGTTAATAAGCACAGTCCCTGACACAAGACAAATGTTGCATAAACATTACCTATATTTATGATTATTCTTGTACATTTGTTTCATATTACAGCCAGTTAATGTCTGGCTGGTTACATTAATAACTTCTATTTACACAGCACTGTAGTCTACAGTACCCTTTCACATACATTATGACATATGAACCACACAATAAACCTGTGAAAAAGGACAGCTATTATTATGTATAGTTCAGTGTTGAAGAAACTAAGATGGTAAGTAGCCACACAGTATCACACACATCAGAATAGAGCAAGAATGCAAACCTGGATTTCTCCCTCCACCCCAACTGCCTAATTCTGTGTTTCTACCATATCAGACTGGTTAAAACAGAGAACGAAGATTATTCTGGGAGAAGGGAAATAAGCCACATGATGAGCACTTTAGTACTCTGCTACTCATGTCCTCTACCCAGAATAATCTATATCACCTGGGAGCTTGTTAAAACTGTAGAATCTCGTGCCCCACCAGGGCCTACTAAATCAAAACCTGCATTCTGAACAAAATCCTTAGGTGATTCACAGAGACACTAGTCTGAAAAGCACTGTTTCACTAGTTGCTCTAGTGACACTCATTCTGGTCACTTAAACAGTATAAGCTAGCTCATTCATCACAGACCTACTTTTGTTTTTATTAGGTAATACTTTATTGTAACAAGAAAGAACTTGATTTTTTTCTTGAGTATATTCTAAAAATGAGTTTATATACATACACATACTTTTTACAGCATTTTGGATTCTTCTTTCGAAGAGAGAGTGCATGAGTGCACGAGCAGGGGATAAGGGCAGAGGGGGAGAGAAGAGAGAGACAGTCCCACGCAAGCACCATGCTCTTTACAGGCGCGATCCCACGACTCTGGGATCAAGACCCAAATGGAAATCAAGAGATTGCGCCACCCAAGCGCCCCAAGTTTATATTTATATTAATTCTTTAAAATATCCATTTCATGGGGCGCCCAGGGTGGCTGAGTCAGTTAAACGTGGGACTTCAGCTCAGGTCATGATCTCATGGTTGGTGAGTTCCAGCCCCGCCTCCAGCTCTGTACCGACGGCTCAGAGCCTGGAGCCTGCTCCCAGTTCTCTCTCCCCCTCTGTCCTCCTCTCTCTCTCTCCCCTTCCCCCCTCATGCTCTCTCTCAAAAATGAATGAACGTTAAAAAAATTTTTTTAAATATCCACTTCACTTAGGAATGTTGGAAAACTTTAAAACACGTCAGCTCTTACCTTCACTCCTTTTAAAAATTAATGTACTACCCTTCACCTGAAGGATGCACTAGACAGTAAAACCACCCTCTCTATATTTTACAACACCTAAATTAAAACAGGCCGATCCTACCCTTATAGGTGCCTCCTCCCCCACCAGATATTTCAGTTAAGTAATGACTTTTTATGACCCAAAACTGATTTCTTGAATTTTGCAACTCTGTGGCTCTAGAAATTGACACACAGCAAGAAGAAGAAAAAGGTATTAAGCCTATTTTCCTACCTCAACCTTGGCGGATGGTGAAAGGCAAATAACTAGTCCGCCCCTATCCCCCAAGTTAATCAATTCACTGTTGAGTTTGATTTCTAGGCCGCTGTCATTCTGGGAACGAGTGTATGAGTCCACTCTTCTCGGTACTGATCCTCTAGGCCAGAAATGCGCTATATTTTGGCACGTGAGAGCGCTGATCAGCGGTTCGCCTGGTTTCTATTTAAAACGACTGTTTCATTTTGAGAGGTGCCTCCTCCCATTGGTTAACCGGCCCGGATGGGCAGGCGAGTAAAATATTGCTCACCTGCTTCCCCGAAAACTTCAAAAGCCCGGGTCAACCTGGGCTAAAGTTATCTAGTAATTAGTTCGTGGTACCTCCCACAGCACATTCCTGATTGGGCGCGTGAGAGACGGATGTGTCGGCGCGCGCTCTAACCAGTCCGGGGAATTCCATTTCCTCTCCCTCCAACCAGCAGACGCACTCAGGGGCGGTGCTTCCCGGCGACGACCCGCCCCAACCCGAGCCGGTGCTAATTGCTTCTCGCGAGAATTTGTAGATTTGGGGGCGGGCCCTCAGCAGGAAGCGCGCACAAAACTGCCCTTAAGTCATTGCAGAGGTATAGCTCCTGTTAGCCAGCCACGAGGTTCTCGCGAGATCCGCCGCCTCAATACCAAGTGAGGAAATTGGGGGATGCTGCTGGGAGGGGCGTGGGGCTCAATCGCGCAGCTGCCGCTTCCATTACCTTCCTCCCATGGTCTCCTTCCGGTTCTCGATGCTTCTCTGAGTCTGAGGGTTTCCGCCGTTCGTCCACCCTTCCCCCCAGCCCATGACCCGCCTCCGGCCCCCGCCCTCCCAGTCCAACCTCCGATCTGTTTAGTAAGAAGGTGCTGTTCCGAAAAGGACAAGGGGGTAGCATAGATAAACTCAACCCTGGACATAGGAAGTAAACCGTCCCCCTTCACCCTTAGATTCGTCCTGTGCTCGCGACGGCGGCGTTGGCGGACTGATACGCGGTGGTGAAGAGGCAGGAGGAGGGGGGAGGGGCGGAGCGTGGCAGCTGGCAGTAGTTCCGTCAGAGCGGACATCTTGTGGCTGTGTCGTGCGCGTGAGCCCCGTAGGGCCGGGGAGGCACCAGCTGCCGCGCGGGGAGGAGGCCGAGGCCGCAGCTTGAGGGAGGCCCCGGCCCCTCTGTACGCGTGGGTGTGGACGGCTAGGGGATGGGAAGGGAGGCCGGCCCACTGGCCGGCCGGGTAAGAGGGGAAATACAGGCCTTGGTTGGCTTGAGTGACCAGTCTGTTGGGTGGGGTAGGGTGGGAAGGCTGGAGAAGCCGGGGCCTGTCTTGCTTAAGGGGTGGGGGAATGGGCGCGTCCTCGCGCCTAAGCCAGAGCCTCAGGGGCAGCACGGGCGCGTGGTGGCGGTGGCTGGGCGGGCGCGTGCGGGAGCGCGCTGGAAGGCGGAGTGTACGGTGGCGTCAGGGGCCGACACAGAATAGCCCTAGCTGCGGGGACAGCAACACATATCAAGCCTTCCCTCTTTTATTTCCTTCCTCTCCCTGGCCGCATCTTTGAGCAGAAACCGAAAGAAGTCCGGAGTCTCCTGTTTCCCCCTCCCCCCTAGCCTTTCTTTGCCCTAGTGACGCCGGCATAGCGCCGACTAGGCCCCGGCTCCTCCTCTGCTGGGCTCCGGACCCTGCCCCGCACCCACCCCTTTCTCCTACGCCTCTTCCTCTCCCACCCGGGTCTCTTCCTATCGAGAGGCCGGGAAGTCAAACTTGTAGCCGCCCCTCCGCTCTTCCCGTCACCTTCGCCTCCTCTTCGGGCCGAAGCACGGCATAGAGGCTGTTGGTGGCTTTGCCACGCCACCCCACCCACCCCGGATCGCGACCGTTTTAAGGGACCTGGATTCATCAGGGTCTCTTCGGGGCCTGTGCGAGTGCTGATCTGCTCCGTTTTTGCAAAAGGCGCCTGTGTCTGGCAGAGCCGGTGTGAGACGAAGAGACCCATCTTTCCCTGCCGCCCGGATAATCAAGAGTTTTGGCCGGACCTTTGAGCACACACCGGGAGAGTGAGGAGCCAGACGAAAAGCACAGACGATGGCGCTGAAACGGATTAATAAGGTAACCCTTGGGGCTAAAGGGAATGGGGTCGTAGGAGGAAAGGAAGGTTCAGTACCAGAGGAAAGCGTGGGGGTGGGGAGGAAGTATAATTATGAAAACGTCCCTCTTTGGGTCACTTCTCTTGGGGGAAGGGAAACGCAGATCTACTTTAAAGAAGTGAATGTTCAAGCTAAAGAACAACGCTTGTGGCGAGTGAGGTGTTACCTTGTGTATGTTTCAGTGGAATCGGTGCAAATTAGGGGTGGGGGAGAGTGATTTCAGGCGCCTCGGTTCTGCTTCTAAAGGAAGAGTTAGTCTTGTTTGAGGTCAGAATTGCCGAGAGACGCTCCAGCAGATGTCATGGCGCTTCCTATTCTCGGTGCTTAAAAACTTAAATTGTAAGATCAAGGATCTTAGGCTTTCTACGGGAAGAATCATTGGAAACTCAGGGGAGAAGAACGTGTAAATCTGGCGGGCCCCGAACTTCTTTGGGGGTCGGTGTAGAAGTCTCTTAGTGGCTGAAAAGTAGTGAATGAGCTTAGTCAAACTTAATCGACTGGGGGCAGGTTGGTTACACAAGAGTAAGTGGGGTTGAGAGGAGATGGGCTGACACAATGTTACCGCTTCCTATGTTTTGTAGTTGAGGCTTCTCACCCGAAGCTATTTATCTGAGGGACACCGGCAACTGATGTAAAAGGCTTCTGGAAGCTCTCTTTTTGGCGCGGGGGGGGGGGGGGGGGG